CTCGCCCAGCGAGTTGAATATCCCACATCCGCGTCAACACGATGTGTTTCAGGCCATAAACGGCTTAGAGAGGAGACGAGCTCCATAAACGCCGATGATGCCTCTGCAAAAGCCTTAAAACAGGCCAAGAAGAACGCTGCTCATCGAAGAAGAAGGTCTCAGCGACGAGCACAACTTCGAGAAAGTCGATTCTCCAACCAACGCGAACTTCGCGTTCATGAGCCTAAACGCGACCCTGAGCTCAAACATGAGCTTCGCGAGAACCAGATTGAACGCGGCCCTCAGTGGCGCGTCTTACAGCCAAAACGCGAACCTCAAGCCTTCATTGAACGCGAACTTCAACTTCGCGTTTCCCAGTCAAAACTCGACCCTCGCGTCGGCCATGAAGAACGCGACCCTCATGTCGCCAAACCAAAACGCGACCCTCGCATTTCAAGTGCCAAACGCGACCTTCGCATTTCAAGTGCCAAACGCGACCTTCGCGTTTCAAGTGCCAAACGCGACCTTCGCGTCTTAAGTGCCAGACGCGACCCTCGCATCCTAAGTGCTAAACGTGACCCTCGCGTCTCAAGTGCCAAACGCGACCCTCGCGTCCTAAGTTCCAAATCCACCCTCGCGTCCGAATAGTCTGCGTAGCGCGACCAGATTGAGGGGCGGATATGCGAAGTTCATGGATTCAAGGCATCTCAACCAGATCCATGTTCACCAAGAGCCAGTCCTATCCAATCATGGAATTCAAGGCATCTCAACCAGATCCATGTTCACCAAGAGCCAGTCCTATCCAATCATGGACTGGGGGTTCTAATTCAAACCTCACAATCAGTGAGTAATTCTCCTCGAATCTTTACAACATATTCGAGAGAGTTCACATCGAGAGCAAGACCGATGCAACCAGTCATTCGTTCATTCCAATATGAGCGACTGATTCCTACGGTCCTCTCGGGATATCAATGCTGCTCATATGCGGCCCAACTATTGGTGTTCAACCAATTTACGAACGTTGTTTTGCCCAATCAACAACGACGTTCGCACAGGTGGAAGTCCCTAGAGGTCACTATCATGTGATGCGAAGAGGGAAAGCCTCAGGTCCTATTCGAATGACTCTGAGGGCAAGTCGTTCACGACCGTCAGAGAAATCGCTAACGAGTTTGAAGGAATCTACCAACGCACTCGGACGCGAACAAGAGCTATTCTCCCTGTCAACTATCGGAGTTTGGCCAGAGGAACCAATTCCGATGATGAACACTCAGCCATCGCAGAGTCCCAATCGTCAAGCTCTTTTGTTGAACATGAGAGCTTCGCTTATATGACAGGAAACTGTGAAGATCTCGCAAAGAGACTTGATGAGCAGGAGGCCATGCTCAAATCTCAGCAAGAGGCCATCAATGAACTCCTGGCCCTGTTGACTCAACTCGTCGCAGACAAGGCCAAATCTCAGAAGACAGATTCGCCACTCAGGCAAGAATCTTCCCGAAGGGAAAGAACGTCTTCGTCCCGACCTCACACAAGCAAAGGAAAGGGAAAAATGGTTGATGACACGGCTTCTGACCCAGAAGCCCACAACCTGGAATCTTCCTCTGATGAAGGAGGAGAGACGGAGTATGAGCAAAATCCTCAGTCGACTAAAATCAAGGAATTGGAAGCCCGCCTCAATGTCATTGCTAACAGAAGCGAGCTCTAAGATGAGGGAGTTGTCAGGCCCTACCCTGCCGAATGGGACGCAGCCCCTTATCCTCCAAAATTTGAAGTCCCGACGCTACAAACTTTTGACGGCATGGGATCACCGAATCAACATATCTATCATTTCAAGTCACAGACTGGGAATGTGATATCAAACGACGCCGTACTGGCTCGATTGTTCATTGGCACCCTCAAGGGAGTTGCCTTTGAATGGTTTAGGAAACTGCCTATCCAAAGGTGGGCAGATTTAGAGAGACTCTTCCTGTCAAGATTTTTTGAAGAGGATACAGAAGTCTCCATCCATACCCTTCTCGCCACTAAGCAGAAGAAGAGGGAGTCCGTCAAAGCCTTCGTTAAAAGGTTCCGAACCATGGCTCTCCGGTGTTCGTCAGGTATGACACAATCTACCTTAGTAGAGACATGTCGACACAACCTGCAGACCAACATCCTAGCTCGAATAGGGGTTGCAGAATGTCGTTCTTGGAGACAACTGATCTCTCAAGGCGAACAGGCTCAGAAGATTATTGCCAGGATCAAAGTTGAAGAACAAAGTGGGCAAGATCAGCCCGAGCAATCGGACCAAGCCCAATCGTTAAATTTTCGTTAAAACTTTACTGTTCATCCGAACAAAACTTTACTGTTCATCCGAAAATTTTCGTTACTGTTCATCCGAACCCAAAAAATGAATCTTTAACCAGAGATTTAAGATCAAAAACCCAATAAAAACTTAAATCCCTAAGAATTAATCAAGGTAGCTCTGATACCACTTGTTAGATCTAAATCAAAACTTGAGATCTAAATCCATATAGCCATGATTAATTCAAAGAGATTAACAAAAAATCTAAAAGAGCGGAAGCTTATACCTGAATCCATGGATGAAAACTTGATTTGGGTTTTTGATGATCTTCTAACCTTAGGGTTTCTCCAAATCCGAATTTCTCTAGCTAGATGGGGGTGTAGAGAATTAGAGAATGTAACCCTAGGTTAGGGACCATAACCCCTTATTTATAGATGTTGTACTTTTGTAATTTAGCCCCTCAATAAATTACAATTACAACCTGATATCTGCACATATAACCCCATGACTTATTTAAATACCAAATTAACCCAACTTAATTGATCACTTTAGTGGGTTATCCTGAAAGATAGCAATACACATTGATTAATCATATGTGCCCACAAATAGATTTATTAGATTAAATCCAACATTGATAACAATACTTCTGCTCTGATGAAATTAAATAAACAATCATATGTTCCTACTCAGATTTTAAATTCTGCAACTTAGATGATCTAGCTCACAGCTTGCTTATAAGACTCGCTGCGATTCCAAACCACTACCAGCGATAAAGCAAATCCTGAACCAATGCTCCAGGTTATGAAAAAATCAATAAGATATGATATTCAGCGGATAGGGTTTAAGAATATATTCCTTATGCATAATCTAAAGTCACAATTTAGAAGCTTGTATACATAAGTTTGGTCCAAAACTTAAGTTTATGGCTATGTTTGCTTCAAGTTTTAAAATTTAATTAATAAGAGAAGAATACATCCATACTAGCAATTTACTCAACATAATAACACTAACAACAATCCAAGTTTAAAGCATATTAAATCGTAGGGGAAACAACTAAACAGAACGATGCTCTCTTTAATATGTGTGTCATCACCAAATTAAGGTCTTTTTGCACAAACACCCCTACAAGATATGCACATATTCATGTTTTGTTGCAAATCGCTACAAAAGGGTTATTAATTAGTTCGGGCTCTCTCCAAACTTACTGAACTGATGCCAAATTATGGGCAATGCAAGTATCAACAAGAGACGGTCCTACAATAAATAGTTGGTTCACAATTTGGAATCAACCTTGTAATCAAAAAGTGAAAAGATGGTCCTATAATAAATGGTTAGTCCACAGATGGAACCAAAATTATAGATTATGGAGATTAAAGTCATAAAATAAGGACCAAACCTCCAAATTAAGCTAAGGCAGGAAAGTGTCGAGATAAAATTGCAACCTGTAAGTTGACATATTTTGTTCAACGATTTCGGAACGTTGAACCACATTCATCTTGAATACTTACTGCAATCCTAAAGGAGTAAAGAAGACGTTTAAGCCACAGAAAAGAGGAGTGTGGAGACCAAGATGTTAAAATATCATATACTCACAATACACTTTCTTCTTAGATTAATACAATAACAATAGTGAAAAAAATAAATAAATTTTTCTTTAAAGAGGTACTGGCAAAGAACTATAATACCTCAAAAGTATAGTTTTTTTATTAACTTGGACATCGTAAAGTTCTAATTTGACCATTCAATACCCAATACTTTTAACTTTGATATTATTCTTCATGTTGTGCTCTGATACCACTTGTTGGGTTCCGAGGAAATCACACAAATGCCGAGAGAGAAAGCCAAACACAATCCAAAAAACGGCACGAACACAAACAAACAAATTTTACGTGGTTCGGCAAGTTGTCTACGTCCACGGGGCAAGAATGAGATAGGTTTTAACTAATAGAGAAGAGAGTACAAATAGAGATTACAAAATCACTCAAAATCTCTCAAACAAAACTCTAACCAAATTGCTCAAAAAACTCTCTTTTCTGTGCACAAAACAAACCCCTTGTCCACTCCCTAGAAACCCCAAAACGTGTGTTTGTATTTATACCAAACACTAAGTCCAAACAGAACATGAAACTGCAATCAAGCCCAAAAATCCGACGCGGTCGACCGCACTTGACGCCGCGGTCGACCAGCCAGAACA